GGGGGGCTGCAGTGATGGTTGACTTTCTACAACTTTCTCCCATCTCCCGACTGCATCTCTGGAGCTCAGCCACAGTCATCTTTGGGTTCTTCTGTACCTCTCTCACCGAGGCTCTTCTCCCCCGATAGCTCAGTTTGGCCGGACGGCCAGCTCTAGGAAGGGTTCTGGTCGTCCTAAACGTCTTCCATTTAAGGATTATGGAGGCCACTGTGCTCTTTGGAACCTTAAGTGCAGCAGAAATTTTTTTTGTAACCTTGGCCAGATCTGTGCCTTGCCACAATTCTGTCTGTGAGCTCTTCAGGCAGTTCCTTTGACCTCATGATTCTCATTTGCTCTGACATGCAGTGTGAGCTGTAGGGTCTTATATAGACAGGTGTGTGGCTTTCCTAATCATGTCCAATCAGTATAATCAAACACAGCTGGACTCAAATGAAGGTGTAGAACCATCTCAGGGATGATCAGAAGAAATGGACAGCACCTAAGTTAAATATATGAGTGTCACAGCAAAGGGTCTGAATACTTATGACCATGTGATATTTCAGTTTATGTAGTCCAGTACAACATAAACACAAATGTTAAGGCAGAAGTGTCGCACTGAAGTGGTCATAATGTTATGCCTGATCAGTGTACAGAGGAAGCAGGAAGCTGGAAACATCTGGTGAATGAAGCTTGGTGTAGTAGAGAAGACGTGTTTTCATTTTGACAGATTGATATTATAGTAGTTGCCCTGTGCTGTAACATATGGTGGAAAAACAGCTAATTTTTGTAGTTCATTATGATTTGACCATTTAAGAAGTTGTGGGTGTTATTCAGAAACTATATACAAAACCAAGTGTTGTCTTCCACCTAAAATATTCTTAAAAAATTAAGTTATAGATTTATCTTATTTATAGTATTTTGTAGTGTGATTACAGATGTTTCATATACACAGTTGGTTAAAACAGCTTAGGTCATGCAAAATGACTTCTTTCCGAGAAAACCTCTGGTAAAATGTTCTCTTTCACAGAGCAGCAGCCAGTTTTGGTCGGCTGCCCCTTGAAGCTTGTTCGTTCTGCTCAACCTCAATGAGCCAAACTCACCGTGCGCCAGCTGCGGTCTCCTCTTTACCACTCTGTCGACTTGCCCGGGTGGATGGTTTACTTGGCTTGTTTCTGAGGAGAAATAAAAACAAATATAGTACAACAAGTTATTGTTTTAGTGCTAAATCTTCCTAGCTTTCATTTAATAGGACATGACAGTGACGATGCCTTCAGAGTGCAAACATTCAGCAGTAAAACAATCAGAGACTCATTCATTAGTACCGACTCTAGACCACTTCATCTGCATGGAGGATGATACACTGTCAGGACTGTTTATAGAGCTGTATTTGCACAACCGAGTTTTCTAGCACAGTATAAAGTACTGAGGTGTTTTAGGGCTTTCCTCAGGCGCTCTGCCAATATGTCGTGGACTCCATGTTAAACTGATTTATCGTGTTTTAATTACTTGCCTTTCCTGGGTGTTTGCACTGTAGATGCTAATCAATAGCTCAAACAATATTTAAATTGCTCTGAAAGTACCTTTCAGCCTCCAGGCGAGCTGCTGACCGTGTGGTAGCTCTGGTTGCCATTTCCTTTTCTTCATCCTCTTTCTCACCATCCTCCTCCTCCTCATCATTCTGCGCAATTTCTTTTTCTTCTACCTTTTTATCTGTAGAAAAGATGATAAATGGACATCGAGGATTAGATTCTCTTCAAGAATCTTGTTTCACTACAACATGCAGTAAAAGGTATAAAAACATAAAATGTGACAAACTGTCTTTTTAAAATATTACTTTTACCCTAATTTAGCTACATTGAAATCGAGCTTTAAAGTTTCCTTACCCGAGTTGTCTGTGGCTGCAGCTGCCTTTGAGGGCCGCCCCCTCCGAGCACCTCTCTTTGGAGTCATCTCTTGGTCCTCTAGTTGTTGCTCCTCCTCAGTCTGGGAAGGTGATGAAAATGCACTTCTATTACAAATTTTATTTTATTGTTACACCACTAAAGTTTTAAAAAGAAAAGACTAAGGTTCAGATTTAACTGTACACACTAAAGACAGCTAAAACTGACTGATGCATGATATTTAAAAACCACCCTAACTGCCAAATTATTTTTTTAATGCCAACATACATCTTCTGCTTTCTTCTTGTTGCAGCTCTCCTCTTTGACCTCCTCTTGTCCCTCATCCCTCTGGCTCAGCAAAGGAGAACCACCTGGAAATGTAGGATAGAGAGACCAATGACCAAGGTAACTCGTTCTGCTCCTAACTCACTGAGGCTAGTGATGTTTTGTCACTACTATTAGTATCCATAAGTAATGTGTCTGAAATATGCAAGAACCTCTACTATGTTTTCACACCTATAATTTAATTTAATTTGCACAAGTGTGTGTGTGCATGTGTGTTCTTACCGCTGTCTTTTTCAGGCTGTTGCTCACTTTGTTCCTGTTGAGCGTTGTATTCTTTCACCTCCTTAACAGCTTGGGTTTCCTACAGAATATTTGAATACACATCAAGACGCACAAATAGCAACTTGAACTTTGTCTTTCATGGAGGGATAAAGGAAGTAATTACAAACTGGAGGAAGTGAGAAACGGGTTGCAGAGAATATTTAAACAAAAATAATAAATCTCACCTCCAAGGATTCCTCTGTTTCCTCCAACCTCTTTCTCTTCACTGCTGGTTTACCTGGAACGGAAATATGATTGATCAAAAAAGAAAATGCATATATACTGTACATATACCAATGGCATAACATTATGACCAGCTGTACATCTGTATGCACTTCTGCCTTAACATTTGTTTTTACGAAGCTCAAAATGTTTCAGTTCCTAATATTCTGACCCATTAGGTCAATGGGCAGGACAAAAATACAGAGACACCTCTGAATTTAACGTAGTCCAGTACAACACCAGCTTTAACTATGAACTATTTTATTCTAAATGTTTCCCATTATCACTTCTGTATAATGTACAAAGATCAGTCAGAAAATAGTTTGGAAGGGATTACTCATAGCCTTCCTTGAAGTTAGTTTTACAGGTTAACAGTGCTAAGTAAGGAAGAAGAAGTGCACACACAAAACAAACGTACGTGCGCCAGCTGTCTCGCTGGAGTCAGAGCTTCCTGCAGCTTCAGTTTCCTCTGGAACTGGAGTCGGCACATTGACCTGACTTCCTCGTCGACCACTTTTCATGGGTGCACCTTCTTCTTCTGTTCGCTAATAAAGGTAAAAATAGAGAAAACCAAAATAGTATTATGTACACTCAACGTTGTTGATAGTTATCAGCTGGCAGGATTCAATCATCATGAGTAATTACCAACATAAAACTGTGCCTGCTAACAAACAAAAATAAGCACAATACTAAACCTGGTACTGTTACATACTAAGTGGTGCACTTTTCTGAACACACCTCTTTCTCTGATGAAGCTTCATCAGTTTTCTCCTCTTCTTTAATCTCATCGTTGTCCTGATTATCTGAAGTTAAAACAGACTTTAGACATTTGAACCACAAACAATCTGTTCATTATAAGTAACAATAAAATAAAAATTGTAACATTTAATTATTTAACATGACAGCAGTGTAGCAACATGTCGGAGAAAATGTTACAACACTTCATCACGGTCAAACATTTATACAGTTGATCAGTAATTTCCATTTTACTGTACAGGTTCATCAGTTAGATTTTTCAGATCTTGACTGATTTTGTATATTTGGCTGCAAACAACAGAATAAATGCAGCCAAAATACACCTGGACAGTACTATGGCAAAACATTAAGTTACATAAAATTTGTTTCAGGCAGAAACATCACCATTTTGTACATGACACAGCTGGAAGATTTTCAGGAAGAAAAGTTTATCGAATGAATGACTTTTTTTTTTTTTTTTTTTTTTTTTTCACCTATGGGTAATTTAAAGTGAACATCTTACCAGCAGTGGCTTCTTTGGCTGCAGCTCCTGAGCATCTTCTCCTGCGGCTCGGAGTCTCCTCCAGTTTCTCAGGTTCGTTGGGTTGGTCCTTCTCCCCCTCCTTGATGGTTTTGGATGACCGTCCCCTGCGTGGTGTTTTGACTTCAGCAGCCTTCTCAGTTTCCTGAAGATAAAAAGCCCGTGTGCCATGCAGTGTGGATTCAAATTAAACAGCTGGTGTCAGATAAACACGATGGGTACTTTTCCATTGTTCGTGCACTAATTTTTTTTTTCCAGCCACATGGCTTTTGTGTGATGAAGCTGGTATGAAAAAGGCTGTATTTACCTCAGCAGGTGGCTGCTCTTTACTTTCCTTCTCTTCATGCTGATCACCTGATGCGTAAAAAGAAAAATACAAATCAGTTCATATTATTCCATTAGATTGTTATTCCACTGTCAATCCTCACACCAAGGCGGCTGCTTGGAGGAGTTCAGCACTGGAATCATTTTACTGATAAATGGTAGCTGTTATTTACTGACTGGATCCATCCAACCATTTTCTATACTGCTTAGTCCCAAACAGGGTCACGGGGGGCTGGAGCCAATCCCAGCCAGCCGCGGGCACGAGGCGGGGTACACCCTGGACACACAGACAAACAACCACTCACACACATTCACTCCTACGGGCAATTTAGAGACACCAATCAACCTAAGCTGCCCCCCGGAGGGAACCCATGCAAACACGGGGAGAACATGCAAACTCCACACAGAAAGGCCGCGAGTCGGCCGGGGCTCGAACCCGGAATCTTCTCGCTGTGAGGCAACAGTACTAACCACCGCGCCACCTATCTTCATCTAATAATAACAATAATAACTTTTGGTTTGGGGACAATTTCAAACTGTGTAAATTAATATAATCTTTAAATATGGAAACTTGTAGGTGTGGAAATAAACTTCAGATACGTTACCAGATTCTTTCAATGCTATAACATTTTGACTGGACAGCTTTCGTTTTCGTCTTTCTCTTCCCTCTGTCTTTTCTTCCTACGGAACAAAAGAAAAAAGTGTTGGCACAGGATGTACAGCATCAACAACCAATTCACTGCATATGACAGGCTTTTAAACAGACTTCTGAAAACAGATACTTTTTCTGACAGGTCTGATCCCTTCTCATCTTCCTGGCTGTCTGTGCTGGAGACGTTACCTGAAAAATAGCAATGACTGAGATTAACGGCAAAAGAACCAACTGTGTTTGTAGGAAAAAGGAAAAAAAGCTGCAGGAAAATCAGTATTCAGTTCTAGTTTGAGCTTCCTGAAGGTGCAGTAAGCTCTTAATCACCATCAAAACAATTACAAATGATTACAGTGCATACACAAAACAATGTCACCCTTTGTCACATTTCACAGTCTGTAAATATCTTTACAAGTGTTCATCAGCTATAAATGAGACAACATTCAGACTCTCTCCTAAAACAGTGGGATCAGCAAGTTCAATCATTACATGATTTTTTTTTTTTTTAAATTCACAACTCACTGATTTGTTTCACTATTTTGGGCCGACTCTCAGGTTCACCTTCTCCGACCTCCTCAGTCTGGTCTGAAACACTGGTTTCCATCTAGACAAAATGCTCCACAGGTCAGAAAAGTACAACAATACACATGTAAGTATGTAACCAGAGGTTGTGATAAATTGAGTTAAAGGTTATTAGTTAATAGTTTTACACTTACACTTTGTGGGTCACTCTTTTCTGCTGTGACAGTTTCTTCTACTGTCTTGCTCTCAGCTTCATCTAGTGGTGAAAAGACACAGGTAAAAATACTGCCTGTTTCCCAGGTTTTAATGTTTGTAAAAGAGAAAAGACTTGCCATTTGCATCCACGTTGGTCTGGGTCTCCTCAGCGACCACTTCCTCTGCCTATTGGTTATGAATGATGACTGAATTTTAGTTTAACATAAAAATTTTAAGTAAACAATGAAAGTGTCTAAACCATGAATGGTACCTCACCTCGGGGACTGTCTTTGTGTCTGAAACATCTGGGTCCATTTGTTCTAGAGTAACAATGAAATGCTAATAAGTTCATAGTCACCCAAATAAAACCTTGTTCTAGTCAACCAAAATGTTTTGATGAACTCACCTTGTTTGCTGGACATTTCTGAGACTTGGTCAGTGGTATTTGAGACGATGGCTACTGTTGTCTCTCCGACCTCTTCTGGTCCAGCTGCAGCTGAATTGTTGTAGAACATAAAATAAAGTAAATGCGCATATTGAGCTGATACACAAACAATCTCTTCTACTACACAACTAAATTCACACTGGACATATAAAATAGTAAAGAACATATGAAATGTTTTATCTAAAATAGGAGATACAGCTTACCTTCTTTGTCAGCTGCTGGTGGTACCAGTTTGTCATCAGGCTGTGTTTTGGGGGGAAGTTCTGCCTTTTTGGTTTCATTCTCATTCAAAGAATCCTGGCATTCATTTAAGGGAGTGTCAACCTCCTGTGCAGAAGACGGAAGAATGATTTTCCACAGCAAGAAACTCTCCACTGACTGTTCATTTTCTGATCAACAAGAAGCACACTGGGACAAATGAACTAGTCCAAAATGTCAAAATAAAAGCTAAACTGGGAATACATTTGACAAAGGGATTTTAGTTACCTGTGGTGCAATCACCCCTGTACTTTCAAACGCTGACATGTCCATTTCTCTCTCTGACCTTTGAGACTCTTCTATACAGAAACACATATTTGGCTTTTTTAATTATGGAAACATTCTGACATATTTAAGGAGCCAATAATAAATATTTTTCCCCATGTACCTGCAGTGTTTGGTTTTTCATCACCAAGCTCAGCAGTTGGTTTAGGTGCAAGTGGCGACGACTCGGTAGCTGGGAACTCAGTTTCAGCAGCTGTCTGCACATCCAAACGAAGATGCTGCTCTTCTTTTTCTTCTTCTTCTTCAGCTGCAGTTGTTTCCATCAGTTGTGGGGTGGGTGGATTCACTTCTGGTTCTTCCCTTTTGTCTGGACTGATTAAGCTGGAGGACACTGTGCTGTCTGGGTCCATAGAGAGCAGAGTCAGAGCTGCCTCTTTCATCTTCATATCGGCATCATGAAGCGCCATCGCAACAGACACATCCCCTTGAATGGCCTCAGGTGGAAGTCTCGCCTCTGCTGAGGTGCAAACATCCATAAGAGTCAGTAGAGCATCCGCCTCAGCCGGCACAACTGGCATCTCGCTGAGTCGTGACATTGTCTCACCTTCGGGTGGCTCAGGGGTGATGTCATTCAAGGCATCACAGGTGTCGTCTGAGAATGAGGTGGTGACGAGATCAGAGTCTGCGCTCGTGTCCTGGAGAACAGATGGTTTCTTAGGTGGCTCATCTGCCTCAAGACTCAGAGATACGACTGGAGACTTTGAAGATTTATCAGACTTTTCCAATTTGTCTTCTCTGGGTGGTTTCTTCTCTTCTTGGCTATCGCCTTTCTTTTCTGGGACTTTATCCTTCTTCTCTAGTTTTTTCTTTGCACTCTTAATTTCTGATTTCTCATGTGAAAAGTCTTCGGAAACCTTCCACTGTTCCTTTGCATTTCCCTCTTTTTTTTTCTCCTTTGTCTCAGGTTTGCTGATAGATGCACCACCTGCACTTCTGACTTCTGAGCTCTGAACTCTCTTGTCAGTCTTTGTTTCCTCTTTGGATTTAGATTTAGATTTTTCCACAATTCTTCCTTTTTCTGTTGGTTTAACCCTCTTTGGATCTTTGTCTGCTTCAGATGTGGACTTGTTTGGTTTCTGGCTGTCTTGATCTGCTTTAGTTTTCTCCTTCTCGCTGTCTTTACTATCCATTTTAGATTTGGGCTTTTCTCCTCCTTGCTTGTCCTCAGTCTGGCTCTTTGACCTCTTCAGGACTTCTTTGCCATGTTGTTTATCTTTCTTCTTGCTGCTGTCAGACCCAGGCTCCATGTCAGACCGATCCTCAGAGGAACCAGCGGAGTCTGGGCGAGGCAGCTGCTTGAAATCACTTTTAGCTGAAGTTTTCTCCCCTTTGGCCTTTTCTTTATCTTTGCTCTTATCTTTATCCCTCATTTTGTCCTTTTCTTTCTCCTTGTCCTCTGCTTTAGCAGCCTCAGTGGATGGAGCTTTTACCTTCTTGGCATCTTTAGGACCCTCGTCAGCAACAACTTCAGACACAGACACCTTTCCGTCTCTTGTGTTTCCCATCATTTTCCTCTCACTTTTAATCTTAGGCTTCTTCTCACCTTTCTCTTCAGAAGACAATTTCACACCTTCCCTCTGCTGAGATTCATCAACCTGGTGTTCAGATTTCTTCTCCTGCTTTTGTTTGAGTTTTGCACGTTCATCAGACAGACTGCGTTCTTTGTCTTTGCGTTCTTTAGTATGAAGTTCTTTGCGGGTCAGCCGGTCAAATTTTCCAACTGAACGTTGTTTCAGAGCCTCTTGGGAACCTTGTTCCAAGTCCAGGATGAAGGAGTGTGTCCAGCCTTTGTCAGACAGCTTTTTGGTTTCACCAGTATCTTCTGACACACTGCCACTCATCCTTCTGTGCCTCTCATCAAACGATGCTGATTCTGACAGATTTCTAAACAGTTTTGGTAATGGAGCCTTTGAACTGGCAGATTTCACTTCCTATTTTAAAACGACAAAACAGTGTTTGTTACAAACCACCAATTTTATCTATGATGAAATCCGTTTCATTCCTGGTGGCATCCACGTACCACTTTCTTGGATCCCTCTCCTCCTGTATCTCCTTTCTTCTTGCTTGAAACATCAGCCTGTATCCTGAAAGGTGAGATTGTTGCAATGTGCACTGTGTAAGCATGTGCAACAATATTTGATTCTGTTCAAAGCTACATTAATTTGTTTCTGAGTTTTAAATGACGTACCTTGAGTCTAGTTTTCTCTTCCTGTTGAGAGCCATTTTTTTCTCTAAAACTTTCCTTTCTTTGCGAGCCTCTTTGGCCCTAGGGCCCTCCAGTCCTCCAGCAATGTCTCCACACTTTTGTTTTTTGTGCTCTGCATAGGAAATCAAGTCTAATAAATGATGTGACAGATAAGAGAACACAAAGTTATTATGACGACATGTTTGATTTTCAAAAGAGAAACTATGGGTACACAGCATGACTAAACAAACTGGACATCACTCACTGCAATTTACAGATTGTGTGTACATAACTGAATCTAAATGATCTCTTCAGTTAAGTAAGAAACACGATGCAGCCCAAATATCTTGGGGAAACTCCAGACATTACACAATTACAATAGAAAATGAAAGCCTATGTGGGTTGTGAACAAAATTCCGACAATTTTTCCTTCCCTTGCACAGACTGTTCATTCATATTTGAATTATCCACAACCCACATGCAGACTGTCATAGCAAGTAAAGATTCAACAGCTAAAACATGGACAGGTTTAGAAATAACTGATGACCCCAATGGCTGAGGAGAGACAAAGCTGAAGTGAAGATATTTAAGCCCTCACAGCAAAACATAAACACCACATAGACCCAAAGAAGACCCCAGTCTTGCGTAGTACACAGTGGGGAGGAACATAAATAATAGCAAATGAGACAAAGTGACTCACATATACATGGAATGACAAAAAACTTTGAAGTCAAATTCAAGCGCACAACAGGAAAAGCACTTGACAGCAAACATCAAACCCATGAGAAAGAAATACCTTGTTCTTGAGTCTGCTCTGCTTTCTGTTTGCGCTTCTCTTCCATTCGCTCCCTGTTCTGCTGTCTCTTCAGCAGCCTTTCCTCTTTATCCTTTGCCTGAAAGAACAAAGGTCACGATGCAGCATGAAGGACAGGACACAATCCAATAAAAAGAAAAGCCCCACAAAAATTGAACAAAAATAAAAAATAAAAACATTATTATGGCATGGTGCAAAAGTTTGGGCACCCTAAGAGTTCCAGAGTCTCAAAGTCTCTCACAAGGTTTCAGACCTTAATCAGCTCGTTAGATCTGATGCACAGCAACAGCTGTCATTGGTAAATGCCAATTTCAAAGCTGTACAAATACCTTGACTCTTCAAACCTTGTGCACACACTTGCGGACACCCAGCAACCATGGGTTCCTCTAAGCAGCTGTGTAAGACCCTGAAAATGAAAGTTATTGATGCCCACAATGCAGGAGAAGGCTACAAGAAGATAGCAAAGCGTTGTCAGCTTGCAGTTTCCACAGTAAGAAATGTAAATAAGAGATGGCAGATCAGGGGAACTGGGGAGGTCAAGATGAGATCTGGAAGACCAAGAAAACTCTCGGACAGAACTGCTCGTATGCTGGTCAGAAAGACAAATCAAAACCCACATTTGACTGCAAAAAACCTGCAGGAAGATTTAGCAGACTCAGGAGTGGTGGTGCACCGTTCCACGGTGCAGCGATGCTTGCACAGACAAGGCCTTCATGGAAGAGTCAGCAGAAGAAAACCTTATCTGCGTCCCCATCATAAAATCCAACGTCTGAAGTATGCAACAGGACATCTACAGAAGCCCGATGCGTTTTGGAAACAAGTGCTGTGGACTGATGAAGTTAAAATAGAACTCTTTGGACACAATCAGCAAAGGCATGTTTGGAGAAAAAAAGGAGCAGCATTTCATGAAAAGAACACCTTGCCAACTATTAAGCATGGGGGTGGATCTATCATGCTCTGGGGTTGTGTTGCAGCCAGTGGCACAGGAAACATTGCACGGGTGGAGGGAAGAATGGATTCCACTAAATACCAGCAAATTCTGGAAGCATCGCTCTTCCACAGTGATTTCATCATCAGAGTCGCTATAGTAACGGGAGTAGAGGAAGGGCTTGTGAACGTAGGCCTTCCGCCGGGGTTTTGTTTCTTTGTCTTCTTCTCCTGCATCTGCACTGGTGTGTTTCTTTTCTGCTTCCTCACCTTGATCTGGTGAAAGAACAGCACACAAACATTAAAATCCAACACCATGAGTAGAGCTAGTAGAGGCTATATTTAACACTATGATATGCAGTTTAAAAACATAGTCATGGAAAAAGTTGAGACCATCTGGTGGAAGTTCCCCCTCTTCAGAAGAATCAATCAGCAGCTCCTCATCTTCACTATCCTCCTCAAATGACGACAGGTCGCTGGTGTGGACAGAACTCACTGTGATGTCACTTAGACCTTCCAGATCAGAGTCCTCCAGAGAGTATTCTGCAGGGAAAAGACATTCATTTTGTCAACCGCTTACTCTTTTACTGCATTTAAATTTGACTATTAAAAATGAAGCAACATTAAAGTCAGCTATGTGCTAATCAAATGCTTATATGTATTTTTCATATATTCTCTTTCTGGGGTTTTAATAACCGAGAACAATCGTAATACAGAAATAAGGGTAAAAGAGGCAGATGAGATATTAGCCAACAATATCTGGGATAACCTGGAATCATCGGTTAAATCAAAAAGTACATGTATCATAATAGTATATAACAATATTTGATAAATACTAAACCTGTCTTAATTAGGCCTGTTTCCATGGTAATTATTATTTTTAGGGATGAACTATTGATTATTTTCCTTTTATGCTATTGATTTATCTGGCCATTTTTATTTAAACATTATTTCTTCAAAATGCCTGAAACACTGAAAACATACCAGTCACAATTTTCAAAAACCTGCGGTGACTTTTTCAAAGTGCTTCTTTTGTCCAACAGTTCAAAACCTAAAGATATTCAGCTTACTATTTTATAATACAGGGAAAAGAAGCAAATCCTCATATTTGAGAAGCTAGAATCATCTAATCATTTTGGCATCAACAGTATCAAACTTCTGAATGACTAAAAATAAGTTGCACATAATTCCTTGGTTCATTCATTTTATCAGAGAGTACAGCAGCTCACCTTCCTTTATCCTCTCTCTGGCTTTCTGCTTGGCCTGATTGGTGGATTTCAGCTGGTCGTCCTCCTGCTTCTCCTCTGAGGGTTTTCCAGGAATCTTGCTTGCAGCCTTATCTTTCTCTTCCTCTGTCTGCTCAGAAGCTCCTGACTGCTCCTCTTCCATCTTTACCTCCTCAATTAACCCTTCTTTTCCCAGATCCATCTGTTCCTGGGTATCCTCTGGCATCACTTCTGACACCTGGACCTCTGGTATCACCTTTGTTTCTCTGGCATCCTCTAGCGTTGTCCCATCATGGTGGCTGTCTACTTCCTCAGCAACACTCAAGTCTTGTTCACTCTCCTCCATCAGCTGCATGTGCTCATCTGAAGCTTGGCCTTTCCGCGCTTTCTCTGTGCCTGAACTGGCCCTGACGCTCGCCTCCTGGTTGAGAGAAGTGATGGTGTCCAGGATGGACATGGCGTCACTGCTTGCAGCAGGAGGTGGGGCAGATGATGAGGCTGTGAACATATGAGCATGTAATGACAGGTGTTAACTGTGTAAAAAAAATAACACAGATACTTAATTTAAAGGATGCTTACTTTTGTCTTTTAAATCTCATTTAGGGAGCATATAAAGCCACCACGTGATATACAGTATTAAGGAAATCTCAAAGGGGAAGAAAGTTTATTAGAACAAGCATTAAAGTGGGCTAAATAGCCGGCAACTGTCTGTATAAAGAATGAATGTGGAGAAATACAAATAAGAACATGCAGATCAGAAGACACTAGCAGACCGCCTGTGTCCTGACTTCCCTATGACGTGTGCATCAAGGGAAACAAACTCTTTTCCTTCAGTAGTCAAAATCAGAATAACAAGAAGTAAATATAATATAAATATGGTATTCATGGCTAGTAAAGACATGAAATGTCATGTACCTTGCTCAGTAACACTGCTGTCTGGTTTGGTCTCTGTTGAGGGCAGTGGGGCCGGTGGCTCCTCAGAGCAGCTGCCAGGTGAGAGAAATTCACGGACCACCCTCTCCACCTGCGGCCTGAATATGTGGTTGATTTTGGGATCCACCACCTGCGCTACAATCCTGTCCACTCCCTGCTCCAGCATCCCTGATCTAAGATGAACAGTTTGATTTAATTGTGGGTAATTTGCACATAAAACATCACAGAGCTAAATAATATATTGGTTTCTTTTAACCTGAGATAGTAGAGCATGCTTTCTGATGGACTATTGTATGAACAGTGATAAGAATCACAAGTGGAAAAGAGATACTGCTCTGTTCTCACTTACTGCAGGACAAGCTGCCTGATGTTGTTTCTCAGCTGGTTCTTGTTCAAATGAGGGCTCCACGTGTGATTAGAAAGGTGATTAGAGACAAAGTTGTCTACTCTCTGTTTCAGGTTCAAATATGCTGGCTGTTGGGGAGTATGGGAGTGAGGGAGATTATACTGGAATTATTTCACATGACAAACATCAGATTTATAAAGCACTGCCTCACATGCATTGAAAAAGAAAAACAGGCTGCAAGTGAAAAGGCAAGAAAAGTATCCCAGCTGAGAGAGTATTAATAACAACTGTTAAATAAATGCCATACCTGGCTAATTAGTAAAATCTATCACTGACTCAGTTGTCTGACCAATAGCTTTAGCTCTAACCAGTGTTTTGTTATGTTTCGTTATAGGATGAAAATAAATCTGCGCTGAAAATATGATCGGATAAGCAATTCATCACTTATCCACCTTGATCATTTCTGATCCCTGTCTCAGGGTTCCCACTCTTCAAGGAAAAATTTTCCAGGACAATTTCAATGACATAAGAACAATGGACATTGTAGATAACGATATCCTCGGGAAGTGCCCGAAGGAGCATTACTTTGGACTCCAATTCAACTCAAGAATACATTTGAGCCTCAAATCTACCATGCCCTGCTAGAAAGGCTTAGTCTGGCTCAATGGCCAAATCTATTACTGGTCTTATTGTGTTAAAAAGCTAGCCGACTAACGTTAAACAGTAATTCTGCAAGTGTGGACCAATACATGTTAAACACGTTTAAAGGTAAAACTCGTTACTGGCCAACAGTTATTGAGGTTTGCATTTCAACCTGCAAGCTACTTAACATTTCTTGGTTGTCTGGCTACATTTCACTGTGATTTGATCAGTCCAGTTGATTTTATTCACACAATTTTCACCAACCTGATGTGACTTTGGGTGCATTTAAAAGCCAATGGCTTGGGGTGTTCAGCGTGTACAATACATTACTAAAAGCAGGCCATATTCGTCTGTCCTTGTCATTCCAAATTTATCTCACACATTACCCTAAGTTCAGCCGCCAGCTGGTGGCGGTTTGCCCTCAGCAAGCGGGAAATACAAAAATGTGAACTTGTTTTCCAGGATGACGAAGTGTCTTTTGTACAATTTAAGTTATCTCAATTTCCACGACTTTTCAGTGACTGGAACAATAATAAAAAACAAAAACAAAAAGAAACCGAGGTTTTCCAGAATGCGTGGGAACCCTGACAATACAGATGACTGCCTTCAGTTACCTAAACTAGCTACTCATATACATAGCGTTACATAGTCAGTAATACGAAATGTCAACTGTAGCTAAATGTGACAGACAGGTAACACTACTAACTTTACATTATGAAGATGCTGTCAGTCGTTACCTTTGTATCAACGTCTGCCAGGCAGTCTCTCCTGAACTGGTCGAAGAGCCCCTGTGTTTTTAAATGACTGACGATCATTGAGACCAGCTGTGGGTCTCCCGGTGGTAAAGCAGTCATGTCTCAAGCTTATATTTTAGTGATTAAAAAAAAGGATAATGCTTACAAAACACTAGGTAATATCAGACTTGAACACACCACCTTTATGTTGTAGCCATGGATGAGAAGCTCTAAGGGTTGAACCGGAAGAGGGAAATAAAAGGCGTCAACTGATCCGGAACAGCTTTAGAAGTGGGGCTTCTCCTACCAAAGTAAAGCTTAAGATTTTGTAAGGTCTATTGCTAACGCATACGACAGCTAGTTAACGTTAATGTCGTTTTACCGAGACACATTTAAGCAAAGTCGAAACTAAATAGTGGTACTACCAACTAACTAGTTTTACTTAAACACACCATAAAGTTGTCACAGAGTCCAGATGCGAAAAATATAAGCAACAAGATTTGACCGTTGGATTACGGCCGATGCTTCCCATTATTTGGTCAGTGAATTAAAGAGTTCCTTTCGACAAAACAAACTTTCACTCAAGATGGACAGGCAGGTATTTTACACAGTCAACGATAAAGATAATATTAAAGCAAAAACTACTGGCAGCGGTGGGATTCGAACCCACGCCCCCGAAGAGACTGGAGCCTTAATCCAGCGCCTTAGACCGCTCGGCCACGCTACCACGTGAAAAGCCACTTTACTAGTGACTTCATAAAGATGAAAACTGCACAAATCAGGGTTTTTCCTTTGTTCTAAACGTTCGCGATCAACTGCTCATTAGCAGCCACGGAGCAGGATTGATTATATGATCAACAAAGTCGTTAACCTAGACAGACATATGCCACAGCCCTGAGGTTGCTCTTACCGTCAGGAATTAATTTTATTGGAAATTTAAGCACAAGTCACCGACGCTGTTAAAATATTCAAATTGCCTCTGTATAATTCAACAGCATCATTAACTGTGGCATCCGAAACGACCACGGAGTTGCATCAACACCTTTGTAATCACCTTCAGTAAAAACGGAATGAATTTACTGCAGTGCTCCTTTGTATGAAACCGGTAATTTTAACTTTACTGGCAACAGTGTGTATTTGTTGTTTGTATGACTTCAAGCCCCAGTCTTATGTTATCAAACCGTTTGGGTTTGTACTTTACATAATAATTTACTCATTAGATGTCCACAAATACTTTAATATTTATTAGATATCTGAAAATAAAACACTACACATTACTTTCCATCCCCACCCTCCAAAATACATCATTCTAAACTATTTGAATATACTTAGCTTGAATAAAACTTTGGTGTCAACACCATAGGATACAGAAATCCAAAACACAACTGTGTCCATAAAAAAAAAAAAGAAAGAAAACACACAGAGGCCTCTAGCCAAAGTAGTATACATAGATAATGACATCACACTGTACAACATAAAAGAGGGTGTAAAATATGACAGAATAATGGTGGTTTGAAGCACTTGGCCGTGTAACAAACATGCTGGCCCAGAGTCTATTGTGGTGGACAGATGAAACCCCCCTCAGAGGGAAGCGAGCAGGTTGACCAAGTGGGCTCAGGATTTCTTGGAGGGGTAGGAGGGAGGTAGGAGCCGATGAGAGTTAGCACGCACCCATGGGTGGTCGATAACATTCTGTAGTGAAAGGCGATCAATAGGGCTGTGGCGAAGCAGCTTAGAGATCAGGTCCCGGGCGCCATCTGAGACGGATCGGGGGAACTTCAAATCCACCTGCAAACAGTAAAAGGCATTTATTCATTTTATCAGCTTAATGCTTCTGCAGAGGCACAATGACATTCACTGAAATATTCAGACTTTCCTCAGAAAAATATTTGTTTTTACACAGATGAAAAATCTAGTAATGATTACTTTCATTAACAATTCATTGATTAATCAATTTATGATTTGGTCTAAAAAAAAAAAATTTAAAGTGAAAACTGTTGTCTCCTATGACCCAAGGCAATGTCATCCAATTTGAGCACCTGAAATCTATTAAATATTTGGCACTTTGGCTTAAAAGACAAAAAGAAAAGAAGTTAAATTATCAAAATAGATGGCAATTACTTGCTCATGAGAGGGCTAATCTTTTCATATACACCACAAATAAACAAAATATAAACTTTAAAGACATTGGTACAGCTGTCTTGCTTTTTCTTTCTTTTAAATCATGTTTTTATATGGCATTTATGTACATCTGTCTTTTTTTTACTGAACAGTGTGTACTAAAGTTTTGAACTGAATACCCGTGTACCGATTCTTTGATTGATGCCTGATAAATCATGTCCCAACACCGATATCATATTTACTGATGCTAGGCATATAGCAATGTAATAATACAGTGGAGCTATGAGTACAGTGCAGGGATCATGAATTGAAGCACTAATTTTAAACCAAGTTTTCCTGTTTGGAAGGAGTCCAAACATAATCATGGTGTCAAGATGTCTGTGAACTTGACAGCCAATGGATTTTCATTTTGCAATAAGAAAATCAAGAACAGGAAATGAACCGTTTCCCAACTGCCATTTAGAAAAAGAATGCATTCATTTCCACATCTGTGTCTGCTGGACCAAGGGTGGAGATTATCCACACACACACGGACAGAGGCCACAACAGAACAGACAGGAGGATATGTGCGCACTCTGCATTCACACTAAATTCTTCCCACAGGGTTGTGCAGAGGTGTCGCTGTATTTATTTGTGCTATAAAACATAACTTAAGTTACATAAATTAACATATCACAAATAAACACAGCCCTAGAGGTCTGGGCTTTTCCGAAGAGGGAGGCCAACTCCATTCAAAACACAGGCTTTATTGTCTGGTCAAGACAAACACCGCATGTGGCCTTAGACGCCTATCTATATTCTTAGAACAGACTACTGTTGGTATTTTACACACCCATGTTTGCACATAGAGGGAGTCCGTTCCGTGCTGCAGTCCTCTCGCTCTCATGGTGCTCACAAAAGGTAGCAACTTCTGTCAACAACTACAACATTACCTAAAAGGTCATATGTCTTAAAGGGGAAGGACAATGGTCTCCGTTTGTGAAGGAGTATCCCCAGATAAACCTACCAATATAACAACAGGTTTAGAGCTGGTAAGGCCGACCGTTGACTATTTTGCTTGCTGTAAGAAATCCAACCTACCCAAATTTCCTCTTACAGTGCAAAGAGCAAAGTAAAAACAGCTTCAGGCAGATGTTCTTCCTACTTTACTCTGCAAACAGGCATAATTAGATTTACCTGAGTGCATTAGACACCCAAAGAAAAACACCAACCTTCATAATTCTTTTGTACGTTTCTGAATGGTTGGAAGTTTCAAAGGGTGGATTGCCGACTAAGCATTCATAGCAGAGGACCCCAATGCACCACAGGTCCACCTTCTCAGTGTGGGTGTGCCCCTCAATCATCTCTGGAGGGAGGTAGTCCAGTGTTCCACACATTGTGCGGCGCCTGAAAGGTTTGAAGTTACAGGTGAGCTGTGAAGGCACAGAAGAAGCAACAAGCAGACCTATGCTCCAGCTTATAGCAGTAAAGCACAGTTTCTAACAGCGCACAGTAGTGAGCTGACTAAGTCCTCACCTCAGAGAAGGTGCGTGGACAGACCAACCAAAATCAGCAATTTTCAGCTCCCCACGATAGCCAAGAAGAAGATTTTCTGGCTTGATGTCACGATGAATCACTTTCTTCTCATGGCAATACAATAAAGCGTCAGATACTTCCTCCATGTACTGTAGGTTTAAAAAGGTTAGCCCTGATTACAACACAATAAGATCAAGTCAAGTGGTTATTAGGGCTGTCCCAGCAGCATTTTTTGGGCTTTGGTTGAAAGCTTGCCCCTCCAGTCTCAGCTGATATGACACTGAAAAACATGGTTATACAGTATAACCCCTTTTCAAACACAAGATACAGTATGCAACACTGCTGCTTCAGTATGTTAAAAAGGTTGCTTTCTGTTATTCAGACACAGGGCACTAACATTATGGTTGCCCTGGCTTCATTCAGACACTGGGGGACACTATCATCTTCCCCACTTGCCAAAAAAATTGCAGGTGTCATGCCAGGTCTTCAATACCACTAAATATGGGTGTGACAATACACTTAGCTCACAAGACAAGATATACAATATTAAGAACAAAACAATATTTTAACACTGTTTTTAAAAAAAATTTCAATAAAGAAATACAACTGTAAAAAGTGTCAAAGTCAAAATGCAGAACACTGCAGGTGCATTCTGAAATGTTTTAACTAATCATCTTTTAATGACTATGACTTCAGTTCTTACATCTGAGTACGAGTTATCATATGCAGTAAATGTTTTGCCACAAACTCAACTGACTGGCTTCTCTCCTGTATGAGTTCACGAGTCTCCTCAGACCTTATAACTGTGCATGAGCTATGCAGTAAGGATGTGCAAATTGCTCTCCAACTAACAAACTTACTGTGGCAGTGCGCTGGTCATCAAATCTTCCACATCTCTGAAGTTCCTTGTACATTTCACCACGTGGGGCATACTCAAGAACCAAGAACACCCTGTTACGGTCATGGAAATAATTGTAGAAACGCAGGATGTTGGGATGTCTAGGAGAAAAAGATAAATCAGCCTGTTGGAGCCTATTGGCAAGCATAAGCAGGTTATGTTAAGAAGCGCTGAATAAATGTATTCATCTGTTATCTAAATCTATAACACTTCAGCCAGGAAGGCCGCCCAATAGGTTTGCTTGTGCTGAGTAAACCTATTAGTCAGGCTTTTTCAGCCCTGCTGCTACCACAGAGGACATATTTGTTTCATGTTTTCAATGCATTTAATATATTCATTGCCATTGGAATGTAAAGAGAATTCCAAGATATGTAACAAAAAGAATCGCTAACCCTGCCTCTAAGAAACTGGGGTAGATGGTATACATCGCACACCCTTATCTGAAACCCTTTATTTTAGATAGATAATGTGAGCAGTTGATGAAAGTTCCTGTAAAAGCAGTAGATGGTAGCAAATAGTCTTGAATTAAACATGCCAAACAAACAATCTACTTCAATGGTTAGTTTAAGGAAATACTTGCTGATGGGTAAAAGAAGGCCTGGCAAGCAACTGCTATGGACCACAAGCGCCTACAGAGAGTGGTAAAGACTGCGGAGAAGATCACCAGGACTCCACTGCCCTCTCTGCAGAGCATTTATCACCGCAGGGTGCGTAGGAAAGCTGCCTCCATCCTCAAAGACCCCACCCACCCCCAGCACGGACTGTTTGCTTGCCTATCCTCTGGCCGGAGGTTTAGAAGTGTGAAATGCAGGACCTCTAGACTGAAAAACTCTTTCTTTCCTTCTGCCATCAGACTCCTAAACAGCTGAGGAGTTCATTACCAGGAAATAAGTCATGTACTGTTTACATTCTCAGTTTGCACATGGATAATTGCACAATGACTGTTGACTACTGCACATGCTGCTCCCATGCAGCATACATTCTATTATATATTTTTATTATATTGCTGCATTTGCTGCTTAAAGTGCCTTATATTTTGTGTTATTTATTTATCTACTTTATATTTCATTTGTATTTTGTAACATTCATGTGGATGGCAAAGTAAGAATTTCATAGTACAGGGAAACATGTTTCCTAACTGTGCATATGACAAATAAACACTTTGACCTTGATACATAAGTGACATACAATGTACAGCATCTTTATGCTACATATAGTTCAAGCATAACACCAGTGACAAGAATGTTTTTCAGAATACCAACTTGAGATGGCTCTGAATCTCAATCTCCCTCCTGAGTTGATGTTCCACACCCTCCTTCTCCATCTGTGACTTGAACAACACTTTAAGTGCCACAATAGCTTGCAGATTCTTTACTCTCGCAAGGTAGACATTGCCAAACTTCCCCTTGCCTAGTGGTCGACCAATGTCGAAGTCATCAATGGAGATTTTTCTGATGAAAAGTACAGAAAGAGGCCATCACATGGATGCTTGAAAATATTAAAAACAGAGCTAAGAATACAATATTAAAGAGGTACTTGTGAGTACACTTACTTTGAAGTTGAATTCGAGGATGACCCAACAAATTCTCTCCCAGGGCCTAAAAGTGATAGTACATTGAAAGGCACATTTCCTGAGGCTTGAATTGTGTCTGTATGTGAGGATGTAGGTAGGTACTTTATTGATTCCCACAGTGGGGAAATTTCTGTGTTACAGCAGCAATAGAGAACAACCAACATAACACCATAAGAACAGACACCACCATAAGAACAGGACTTCATAGAAACACGGGAAAGAATACGAGGACACAGCTGCTGTAACTTGCTGCCGCTCTGCGCAGCGCATGCATACGTAAGTATGTAGTAACAAAGAACACTTAGTCTTAAAATAAAAAGTTACATAAAGGCAACAAAGCATTTAGGACCGATACACACAAGGATTATAAGGGTGAGGGTACCTGTGGTAGAGAGTTTGTCCATCTCTGCTCGACGCATCACCTGAACACGCTGGGGCCCTGTCACCAAGCTAGGTGTTGCAAACTGATATTCAGAAAACACATTAATGCAGTAGTAAGTGCCTTATTGACAAAGTTCACATGCTCACTTAACACCATTTTATAGAGAGAACCCACACCATGATACAAAAGTACAAAAATAAGGATGGAATCAAAATACTGCACTGAAGTGATGTACAACAGGTAATTACTGAGGAGACACTGCTTAATTCATCTCGACATCTTTTTACTATTACTACTACTTACGGGTCTTTGAAAACCTCTGGGGTCACAATTTTCTTTATTCTGTAAGGATATAAATATGCACAGCTCACATTAACATACAGTACATTTGAGCTACTGTCTTACAGCATTCAAACCTCTTGCAAGTTGTTTTACACACAAAAAAGGCCGACTACAACTAGTCCTGAAAAGTGCAAGGTGGCACGTTCTCAGCTGTGTCCTGTAATAACCTGAAGCATGGCTGAGGGCTGAGCCAGTGCTATAAAGACTCAATTAGTCTCCCTGTTTATTGGTGACATCACCTACATACATCTATGTTGCTTCTGGTGTCAGGAAGAAGAAAAACAATTCATTCAATCTAGTTTTTGATTTCCAACTTATTTTAATACAAGTTTTTTTCCCCACTTTGCACAAAATATATTACAATATTGGATTATAAAATTGTACAGGTGTTTCTTTGTGCCTGGCATTTCAGTGCAACATTTATACTTCATGTTAGAGATTAGTGGTCTGTGAAGTTAAAAATACGTTACACCGTTGTAATGTTAACTTTAAACGTTCTAGTGCCTTTACATTTGTAATACACCACAATTTAAGTACAACAAAACATGTCATACTTAAGGATATACATTTTGTTCCAAGTGTTGTGGGTGTATCTGCTGCTGACCAGTTGCACGTGTAACGTTAAATTAATGCGTTTCTTTATTTAACGTTAAGGATAAACGATTAAAAAAGACTTAATGGCCTTGTAAGCCGAGGTGCTGAGATGATTTAACGTTCACGTTAGCTAAAACCTCTGCCTCATCTGTGGGGCAATCGACCTACTGCAAAATGAATTTATGTTAACTGCATGGATAAATCTACTTTAAATAAAGCCTACCAAAATACATTTTCCCCGCCTACATAATATACTGCCTGTTATAACTTCACACGCAAGCTATCGTAGTGCTAATGATATGCTAAGTTAACACAGGAAGGTCGTAAGCAAACCAACGTTAGCGAACTTAGCTAGCTAAAATGTGCATCAAATTGAGAAGCGTTTTGGAACCCACAGCCATTATTCGTTGTTCTCAACTGTTGTCCAACTCTACCTCATTATTAAGCAGTTTAAAAACTAAATTACCTGCATCGTGATGAAGAACTGAAACCTTTCAGCGTAAATTCCAGTCGTTTTGAATTCCCTCGTCCGCCAACGTGTTCAAAAAGCCAGTCTAGCCAAACGTGATTGGTCGGTATGCTACACACAAAAGGCTGCAATTGGCTATAATTGCTACAAGAGAACAAGTGTGATTGGTGAACACTGCCTCTGCTCGCACGTCGACCCGCCCTTTTTCCTGGTTATTTATTTACGGTCCTCTTGATACATTACTGTCTATTTCTTTGAAATCCTAGTACTATTTACGTTTCCTTTATTATTTATTTTTTATTTAAGTTAGATGAATGCATTTACAACGTGAGGTTTTCATCTATTTGATATAACACAGACCGAAGTATGTTTTAATTAGTGACAACACAATGGGCTGTAACCTAATAATGATCATAATGATAAATCAACCTGTTATGTTCATAACCTATTCAATGAAATGTCATAAACAAATATATCCTATTTACAATGATAAAAATCAATTCATAACATCCTAACCTTAGAGAACCTAGAACCAGAAAACATATGGTGTCTTTAATTGAAAAACGACTGTCGACCATTTGATCAAATGACTAACTGTAACAGTGCTAAAGATGTCCTATTGTTGCATTAAATAGATGTGCGAATAAGACAAACTGTTAAGCTTGTTTAAGAACCATAAGGGGTTAACGTTTTTAAATATATCACTTTCCCCCATTCAGGTGTTTTTAACGAGTCAAGTTGATATGTGCAAACAGCTGACCAACCACTGGATTTCATGAAAAGCTACTCTAACAGTCAAAACAAATATCTTTAATAGAATTATTAAAAGACAAAAATACAAAGACAAACGGTACTTCAAAATTTGTTTAAAGTTTATGTATTACAGTTTATCATTTATAATTTCAAACTTTGTGTTTAAATGTAGAACATAAATCATGTCAAGGACACATCTTCCATTATTTCCACACAATCAACAGACATTTACAATTAACATTTCTCATTTCATAATTTCTATAAGGAATATAGGAAAACATTGAAAAATAACAGGGAGTTGAGACTTGATGAAAATTAAGTTAGATTATGCTGTTCTTCTGTTAGACCAAAACCACACAGCCCCTGCAGGTAACAGATGTATTGGTAAATGTATACATGGTTGAAAAGGAGTGAAGGAACAGGAAACAGGTGGATCATTGCCAGTAGTATGCTTCAGTGATCTGCCTTTGTCACTTAACATCTGCTCATCTTTACAGTTTAGCAGTGATACTGTGATATATTCTGACCCACTTTAAAAGAATATGCTAAAAACCTTTTTGTGTTGAATTGTTTCAGGCTTTTTATGTGAACAATCGATTTGAAAGTGGGACTGTCCCACCTATTTACCTTTAATGCACTAGGAAACAGTACTGACAACATGTACTGTGGGACAAAACAAATCTGTCAGCCATCAGAAAGCTGATTATGTTGGACTATCTGATCCATTGTCACAATCAAAAAAGCAAGAGTGCTGAATTACATTTATTTGTCTGGTATTTTAAATTTCCCAAATTAACAATACACATTTCTGTGTGGTTATTTTATCCATTCAGTGTCCTTTTTGATTTTCCATAACATATAGCTCCATTTAGAAAAGCTTTTATTTAAGTTTGAAGAAAATGGTTTGAAAATATCCTGTCAAAACCCAGATTAAGGACATACATAAATGTAACAAAAGCATGTCCCTGAATCACTTCCTATATCTCTTTATTGTATTCTGATTTCTCCAATATTAAACTGCAATATTGTGATATTTCTTATTTTGTTGACATGAAGGTTCTGAAAGTTTGAAAATCTGTACAGAGCATTCTAGAGCTGGCTCATGTAAAACCTTGATATCCTGTAAGCCCATGTTGGCTGGATCTAGTTATACTTATGTCATAAAAATAAAAACTTAATTCAATCATATCAATAACACCATTTAAAATTACATTTGCCTGTGTGAAAGATAGTTTTATCCATATTAGCCACTTGTATGCAGCAGTGGAGACCACATTTACTCTGCATTGGTCAGAACAGAGCAGTTGGTGAAAACTACTGTGCAGGATGGCAACAGGTCAGCCAGTGAGCGACGTAGACTTGGAATAGTATCACTGGTATCACATATCTTATTCTCATTGTTGCTGCTATCTTCACCTGCAACTTCCTCACTGTTATGCTCTTCTTCACCAACGCCCTCCCCATCCACCACTGGTGGACACTGCCGAGGGTGGAAGTTGACATCCAAAAACTCCAGTCGGCGGAGTCCACGGAGCATCCTGCAGCTTCGAACTACCTGCATCTCACTGAGTGTGCAGGCCCACAGGCACAGATGCTTCAGGTCCTTCAGACGTCTGGCACAGAGCAGGCCTGGCCCCACCTCTTTACCACCAAGGCTCAATTCCTCCAGTCCAAGCCACCCTGCCCCTAGCCCCAGGGAGGCCATCTGTAACTGGTAGCCCTGCCGCCCAGTGATGCCTATTTCCAGAAACTTGAGTTTTGAAAGCCCTTCAACACCATGCATGCCATCTTTGGCAGCACAGTTCCTGAGCCCATTAGCTGTCACACGAAAGGTGTCACGCAACTCCAATCGACCTAGCCTTTCCCATGACGTCAGACTCTGTAAGTGCTGGTCTGTGAAAGAGGGCACATGGTTAAGAACTAACCTTTCAATAGAAATTCCTGATGGAGAACCAAGCACTTTTCCTTTCTTATCTGATCCTTGCTGCTGAGCACCAGCACTTGATGTTGCTTCTGCTTGTTCTTTAGAACAAGTAGGTGAAGTAGGGAGTGTCTGGTTGAAAAAGCCACGAGGCAGCTCACAGCCATGCAGCTCCAGCACCTGCAAAGATGGAGGTAGGACCTGGCAAATGAGCAGACCCCTCAAGTCTGCATGGAGAAGATAGAGCTTTCTGAGGCGAGGGCACTTTATGGACAAAGCCTTGAGCCAAGGCTCAGAGAGAAAGGTGCCTCCTCGAGCAGACAGCAGCAAACCACGTAGCCGTAGGGACCTTAGTCCACTACCCAGGTACTGGCGCAGCAGGATCCAGAGTATGCGAGGTGTCATCTTACACACAGTAGACAGGCCATGAATATGTGTGTCATGAAAGTGGGGAATGGGATGCAAAAGAGAGACAGTTTCTGTCAATAACTGGGCAAACACATGAAGTATTTCCTTCATCAGAGGCTTATGGCGAGACAGATCTGTCTGATAACAAGATATTAACTATTGTTTGATTTTGATACATGGAACTTTGCTAACTTTGCCTCAAAAACTTGGAAAAATACAAGATCGATTATTTTAGATTTATTCTGAATGATCAAAGTTTTTTAAAGACCTGAGAGAAGACCTAATCTGCAGGAAATGAAGTTAGACAACTAATGTCTGGAAATGAATTTACCGATTCTTCTATGTTTTTTAAGATGGTGGCAAGCAGACTGTCTTTGACTTGACGGTCAAAGTTTAACCATATGTCCCTGATTACAGCAAGATTCTTGACTTGATTTCTGGTTTTCATTGACACTTAGCCTTTCCATTTGATCACAAAGGATAGTTTAAAAAGTTGCTATTGGCACTTAGGAGTTCAAATAGGGATTATATGCACTGCTGTTTAATAAGACTACATAGATCTCTTATTGGGGACGTGTAATATGGTCTTTTCACAACACCGCTAATAATTTAAACACTCGTGTATGAAAAGACCGAAATAAAACACAAAAATAGCCTCATTGCCTGTAAGAACATACTTACCCCTTTCCATGCAGTCAAATCGACAAATCTCCACAGTCTCTGGTCCCTAACAAGGCGTTTCCATCGCTTACACACTCTAAAAAAACGTCGTGAAATACAACAAATAAGTTAAGCATGCGTCATGACTCACAACAAAGGCAAATTTGGTACAGTTTTGTTTCACAAGACGAATACCTAGTAGAATACTGATAACACAATTAAATGTTTATTACCTTGTAACTCTGACAAGCTCTCTTACGGTCAGATAAGATAACACATCAATTAAAATGTTTTCTGGAAAGTAGTCCAAATTACAGACGTTAAATTCATCCATCTTGTAAACAAAACTCTTTGAACCTCGGGCACGGACTAATATCCCGACGCACACGAGACGCACCCAAATCACCAATCCCCGAGAAACAACTGCCCAATGATTGTAGGTCCTAGCGACGACTTTACTGTTGCATCGAATATGCTTCTTTATACTCAGTATTTTGTATCTCGGTTTCGCTTCTGTAAACACTTGGCAAAATAAGTGACTACGGTAACTGTGTATTAGAGCTTATTTTAAAACATCCCTAATGACGCGATATTGCCACCTAATGTTGGTTGGGCAAACAGTTCACTGCGCCTGCGCCGTTTACCGGACAAGATGGCGACCAGCAATGGTGGAGGAATGGAAGTGGATGGGGCAGGCGAGTGTTTATTGGCTATCTCACAATTTCCGCTCGATATAAACACAAACTAGTATTGAAATTGTTTTGTGTTATGCGTGTTTGTGTTAGGATTGGTCCAAGTTACTGCATTTTTTGTGTTAACGGTGCTAAGTAGCGAGCTTGCTGACATAAGCGGGTTAACATACACGGCTCTTCTGTAAACCTGTCAACAAATCCGTCGTTCGGTGTTTGAGTCAGTTCTCTATCTCTTACTGTGGTTTGCATCATGAAAGCAAACCTAAATCTGTCAGTACAGGCAGATTTGAAAAAACAAAAAACACAAACCTTGTCTCAAATTAGGCCTGGCCTGCACGTCCGCTCTGTATTTAACTTTACTGACATTGCTTCGTCGTTGCAGCTCTAGTTTGTGATCCTAATGTTAGTTTGCAAAACATATTTAGATTTAGTTCAGTTATGTTTATTGATGGTCGATCTGAGTTTTTCTTGATGATCTGATTCATCTTTATATACGAGGAGGAGAGAATATAGTGAAACATGCTATAACTTTACAAGGTCAGTGATCCCAAGGTGCCATCTTCAGTTTGGCTGTTTCATTTAACCAGTACTCCAAAACCCAAGGTTATTCGGTTTATGATGATGTAAAACAGAGAGGGTGATTAATTTTCTGATCAAATAATCAGCTGCTAGGTTCAGCACTGTTGAAACTGCTCTGGGGCCTAAGTCTGTCTTGTTTGTGTCTCCGTGTGACTGTAGCCAGCCCCAGTGTTATGGCTTCAGGGGTCACAGGGAGCGTTTCTGTGGCCTTACATCCCCTGGTTATCCTCAACATATCCGACCACTGGATACGCATCCGCTCACAGGAGGGACGACCAATGCAAGGTATGTATGAGAATGCTATGCAAGAAAGATGGTGTATAAGCAGTATTATGGAATGTCTATGTGCTATAACTGAGTTTAATGAAACAGCAGATGTTCATTGTTATTTTCCTTCTCCTCAGTAATTGGCGCTCTCATTGGGAAACAGGAGGGGAGAAACATAGAGGTGATGAACTCCTTTGAGCTGCTGTCTCACACCATAGATGACCAAGTGCATATTGACAAAGAATACTACTACACCAAGGAGGAACAATGTAAGTGGTGTGCATATGTGAAACACAAGAATGCCCTTCTATTTCTGTCTGCTTTCTCTTACATTAGGTACAAAGTAATAATAGGACTCCATGTGTACAAAGCCTGTAAGAATTTATTTCAGGTCAGAATTGTCAACCAAGAGACAGCAGTGTTAGATCCAGTTATTAAGGAACTGATGAAATCGATTAGATCTGTGTTTTTAAATGTCCTCTTGTTTCTTAGTCAAACAGGTTTTCAAAGAAATGGAGTTCTTGGGCTGGTACACCACAGGAGGTTCCCCAGACCAGTCAGATATCCACATTCACAAACAGGTAGCCACAAAATAAAGGTGGTGTAAGTACAGTAAGTTTGAATGAAATCAGAAGATATTTAACTCTTCTAGCAGCTGGCAACAGGACAGAGATGACTGAAAACTCAAAGTGAGATTGTTTTACCTCCGCAGCCTGAGCTACAACATTTACTTACCAAGTAAAACAGGTGTAGTGTTATATTGTAGAGATTCTGCTATATTTTGTTAATGATTCATGTTCTACCATTACAGAAATGTTTACTGAATATAAATAGAACATCAACTTTAACAAAAAGAGTAGATGAGTTAGACTTCTTGTCTTAAAGTCTAATTGTATTTTTTTCTGCCAGGTGTGTGAGATCATTGAGAGCCCTCTCTTTCTCAAACTTAACCCAATGACCAAACACACCGATGTGAGTTCCTCTGCATTCTTACTTCACAATAGCATGGTTATGTATTTAGATACAGCTGCTCTAAACAATGTCCTTTATTCTTTCAGCTTCCTGTTAGTGTTTATGAATCTGTGATTGACATCATCAATGGCGAGGTACTGCTTGTTTAATATCTACATATTCTTTCTGACACAGTTTCTAATACTTCTATCTTAAGTGGTTTTTTTCCCTCAACCAGGCTACTATGTTGTTTGCTGAGCTGACGTACACTCTGGCCACAGAGGAAGCAGAGAGAATCGGTGTCGATCATGTAGCTCGAATGACAGCCACGGGTACAGGAGAAAACTCAACAGGTAAGAGAAGTTTAAAGACTGAGTAGTTTATTTAAATTCTAATTCAGGCTCTCATTTCATGTAAGTTAGTTACTGAAATTTCGAGTATATTGTTTTTCTTTACAGGTTAATAAAACTGGTAAATAAACACAGATACAAATAGCATGCATACACAAAAAGAAAAGAAATGCTAACCACAAATTACGTGTATTTTTAAAAGCAAAAGTTAAGACAAACTTCAAATTAGCAAGCAGGCTGAATGAGCTGTTGCTAGATATTAAATGAACCCTAGAAATGTGGAGGAAATGGCTGTTTTGTGACCTGACTAATATTAGACCTGGTCATTAAAAATGAATTCTGTCTGAACAGGTTTTAACTCCAGTATTTGCTCTGTCTTGTCTGATAGTTGCTGAGCACCTCGTAGCCCAGCACAGCGCGATAAAGATGCTCCACAGCCGAGTGAAGATCATTCTAGAGTACGTCAAAGCTGTGGAAGCAGGTGAGAGGTCTGAAGGCCTTGTTAATGAAGCGATGAGAGCAAAGCATGAAAAAAAAGAATCGTGGAGAATGGCTGTTTCTTTCCTTACTCTTCAACCATAAAGGGAGGCCCCTTGAACACACCTCCATTGTTATAAGCCCATGTTTTCTACTGTTGACATCATCTTACCTCACTATTTTGGCATACTGTGCTTTACATGTTTTTTGTTTTGTCCATTCATTTTCATGTAGGAGAGGTGTCATTTAACCATGAGATCCTTCGGGAAGCGAATGCCCTGTGTCACAGACTGCCGGTCCTCAGCACTGCAAAATTCAAAACAGACTTCTATGATGTGAGTAAGCTTTGCCAATTTCTGGTGACATTTTCATCAGTTGTTAAAGGGTTATGCCTGTGCAAAAAGCCCAAAACCAACAATGCATTACCCTATAGGATTGGATTGATGGGTGCTTTGTTTTAAGGGTAGGCTACAATTGGAAGATGGCTTTACAGTACTTACTGTGTGGCTCTGAAGATTTAAGACGGCATGGCCTGACATGCTCCTCTTTGGGGCCAAATAGTGGTTGAACATCATATAACTTGTTTACTGAGCTTTCATGTGAATACTCATATGTGTGTATTATCAGCGTCTACTGAAAGGGCAAATCTTACAACCCCTTTTTCTCAAGACATATCATTTATACATATCAATATCAACCAAAATCACAGGAGATGCAGGGATAGAGTGGGTGTGTTGAGTTGCCTCTGAGATCATTGTGTTACCATCTAATGTGTTTACCTGTTAATGATTAAGATGCTCCTTACAGCGTCTCTTTCACTGGACAGTTTAGAGCCTAGTGTTAGCATAATTCAAAAAGGTCTTCTGTGTTTACTCAAAATTATTAGGAGTCCCACAAAGCAGAGTATGTGAGTGTCATTTAAAAGCAGAATTAGTAACTTCCTAAAATAGCTGGGCACGGTAGTTTTTAGAAAGTGGTGCATTTGTTGGGGACTTTTTCCATCTGTGGATTAATACACATTTGGTGCTGTAGTGAGTTATTTATGGCGGCATGATGTGTATGTGGGATTCACTCAGACACAACAGTGTGGCTCATTTATGTGTTTTTAGTAGTTTCCTGGATACACAGACAATACCTTTTGTTGGTTTTGCTGTTTTTGATTCATTGACACAAAATGCCAGGAAGTGTTCAACAGCAGAAGGAAACAAAACTGAACACTGCAGATTTTTTTTTCTTTCACTATCATCCCCTTCATAAACACTAGGCTTGGTCCAGTCTTTACGCATTATAAGATTTCACTCCGTTTGATCCCATGTGTTATTAATTCCAGCTCTGTCTACAACGTGTCCCTCTTCCTTCCCTGCAGCAATGTAATGATGTGGGCCTCATGGCCTACTTAGGCTCCATCACCAAGACCTGCAACAGTATGAACCAGTTCATCAACAAGTTCAACGTCCTGTACGACAGACAGGGCATCGGTCGGAGGATGAGAGGACTCTTCTTTTGAACCAAGCACTGCAGTTTGTTTCCTTTTGGTTTGTATTTAGATGAGCTAAGACAACTTCTGAAACCAACCATAGCTTTTCAAGCCAGTTTACTTGTATCAAACAGTAAGAGATACTCACTCAACTTGGCTGGTAGGCACAGAAATGAATCCATTGTACATGAACATATTATTTGACTGTTTTATTGTTTTATGTTTCTGTATGTAATAAATGTTCCGATTTTTTTTTCTTTATGGGACTGGCTCTTCTTTTTTTAAACTTAAGTGGTTCTAACAGGGTAGACATGGTACCTACCTATACAGAACACAGCTCATAAAATTGTCAGGCCTGCACTTTTAAACAACCTTATGAAAGTCAGCTATGTGGAGCTGCTTTAGCTGCAGGTTTATTGTAGGAATGTTTGCAGTTAGCTTGTCTTTTGAAGTTGTGTTCCTGCTGTTCAGTTGCCTGTGGAGACTTTGGACCAACATGCAGCTGGAAGGGTTATGGCTGCAGACTTGGAGGTCTGACAAGAGTCAAATCAAATTTTATTTGTATAGCGCCAAATCACAACAAAAGTCATCTCAGGACACTTTACAAAGTAAGGTCTAGACCTTACTGTTATCAATATTATTACATAGGGAAAACCCAACAAATCCCCCTTGAGCAAGCACTTGGCGACAGTGGGGAGGAAAAACTCCCTTTAACGGAAGAAACCTCCGACAGACCCCGGCTCTTGGTGGGCGGCCTTCTGCCTCGACCGGTTGGGGTGAGTGGATAGAGGAGAGACAAAAGAAGAAAAGCAACAAGACACAACAATCAAACACTGATCAGGTCGATGTGGCCGGTGACTGCTCGTCAGAGATATAGAGCTCCAGGGCAACCTGCAGAAAGTTACAGGGAGAGAGAGAGAGGACACACTACGGGAGAAAGGAGACACAAAGTTAGTAATGTGTAATAGTGGCAAGCTAGTGGCAGAGGTGCATGCGCAGACAACTGGAGTTATGACCTGGTCTGAACAGCCAGATTTTAAATCAT